CAGTCAGTAATTCTGTCCTTTTGCTAGCCAGTCAACAGCCAGCCAGCCAGGTAGCTAAGCAGTCAGAATGTGAGAATGGCTGGCGTTCTGCCTGCCTTGCAGCCAGCTTGTCAGTCAGGCCCAAGTGAGTCAGTCTGCCCTGCAGCTCATCAGTCTGTCCATCAGTCAGTCAAGCACTCAGCCTGCACATTGGTCAAATGTTTCATCACTCTATTTGTCAACCAATGCCATTTTCAGAGCTTCTGAAACCAAATGTCACACACACACACACACACACACACACACACACATTCACAACCACTCACAGAGCACACCAGGACATTCTGTGTTCTGAGAGCTCGCTGTAATTTTCCTTCGTAGTGCCATCACACCTTGTAGCCATATTCAAAAAACATTCGCATGATTATTTGGTTTCTGTTTTCTTTTCTACTAGACGGTAAGTTCCATGAGGTCAGGAACCAGGTTCTTCTATTCTAGAATGAATGGCTGAGGCTCTCGGTTGCTCATACTTTCCAGAAGCCACCTAGCCAGTTTGTAGCCAGGTGGACAAAGCAGGGCACAGGAGCATTTTGGCCAGAAGGAAGAACACAGGTTAAGGTATGAAGGTGTGAACAATCATAGTGAACTATGAATGATGTGTCATTGCCTGAGCACAAGGTGAGGAGGAACTGTGACAGGAGGAGGGCACAGGCAGAGTTAAGGGACATGTGGTTGGAGATGTAGGCTGGGTCCATGTCCTGAAGGGCTTTGTATGTGGTGGAAGGCACATTTTATCCTGTAGATAAAATCCTGCACAGGATATTATCCTGTAGATGATGAGTCATGGAGGTGTGTGTGTGTGTGTGTGTGTTACTGGGTTTGAACTCAGGGCCTTGCACTTGCTAGGCAGGTGCTGTACCACTTGAACCATGCCTCCAGCCCATTATGGAGGGTTTTAAGTGACAAGAGTTGTGCTTTAGAAAGACCCCTCAGGTGGCAATATGCAGATGAAGTGGAGTGAGGTGAGAAGAGACTGGAGGCAGAAAGGCCAAATTAGGAAGCTATTGGATGTCCTTAGGTCAATGTGTCCCAACTTCCTCCTCAGTTTGTATGACAACTACCCACAGATGAACCATAGATCCACACAGATGAACCATGCATCCACACAGATGAGGCAGCTTGTGGCCAGATGCAGCAGGACCGAGAGGCTGAGAGGCTCTGAATATTAGCACCCTATTAGCCATGCACACATACCTTGGGACCTGTGTATCTGGGAGGAAAATGATGAGGGCCTGAAATAAAATAGTGGCAGTAGGGATGGCCATGTTTTAAATGCTTCTGAGGTAAACAGTGAGTCTTGAGCCCTTACAGTAATGATGGTAGCAATCATTCACACTCAGACTTCTGTATATCCTTCTGCTATTGGTGATGGGGGCGGTAAGACAAAAAAAAGGATATCTGAGTTAGGTGTGGTAGTACATGCCTATAATCCTAGCTGTTCAGGAGGCAGAGGCAGAAGGATTTGGAGTCAGAGGACTGCCCTAGCAAAGGTAACCAGACCCTATCTCAAAAGGGGGGAGAAGCTCAAGTGGTAGAAGCACTGGGCTCAGGCTCCAGTACCACAAAAGAGAAGGGCTTTCTGAGGGTTGGAGGCATGGCTTGAGTGGTAGAGCATCTACCTAGCAAGTGTGAGGCCTTGAGTTCAAACCCCAGTACCGCAAAAAAGGGGGTAGGGATATTTGGTTTCCCCTTGCCCAATACTCCTTCTCTTTTACCTTTTTGTTGTATGTAAGATTGACTGTTCTGTTGTGAGTGAGATGCATCTATTAACTGGACAAACATGCCCAGTGTCCCTTCCTAATAATGACTCAAAAGTAATGTTTCATCCCTGCTCCCTCTCTCACTAGAGAAAAGAGCCCTTGCTCCTCATGGTACAAACTGCTCCTTTTCTCCCCATGGTATTGCATGAACTTCATAGAAGCATCACAGAGTCCAACCACCTTGTAGTGACTTGCATTAGAATTGGATGTACAGTAACTATTGAACAATTAAAGATAGTGTTTGATCCAGCACAGGATAGTATAGTATAGACATAGCACCGTGTGAGTTGTGAGCTAGGAAAGGAGTTCCTAGAGGAAAGAGCCTGGGAATGCTGATTCAGGAGTCCCAAACATATTGGTGAAAGCTGACACCCTGATGGACAGGAATTGAAGGTTGTAGATGGAGCTGGGACCTAGATAAGGTAGAGAGGTTGCCCAAGAAGAGCCATGCAAAGAGAGAGAAGGAGATGGTCAGAGATTACAGAACCAGAACACAGTGTCAACTCACAGAAACAGAAGCCAAGAGAATTTCCAAAGGAGAAGTCACTCACTGTTGGCAAAAGTATCAAGTTGCTGGGAGGCTGAGACTGGAAGATCACAAATTCCAGGCCAGCCTGGGCTACATAGTAAGACCTTGTTTCAAAACACTAAAATAAAAAGTACTAAGGTAAGACATGAGATGTGTGATAAATAGATCAAGTGCCAAACTATACCCCATGATCCAAATCTGACCCACCATCTACTTGTGTGAATAAAGTTTTATTAGAACATAGTCACAGCCATTTGCTTAGTTTATACATTGTGGCTATTTTCACGTGCGATGGCAGTGTTGTTGTTTCAGAGCCTGTGTGGCCCATGACTAGAATGTTTACTATCTAGCCCTTTATTAACAAAAAAAAAACATACTGGCCAGGTACCAGTGGCTCACACCTATAATCCTAGCTACTCAGGAGACAGAGATCAGGAGGATCATGGTTCAAAGCCAGCCTGGGCAAATAGTTCACAAGACCCTATATCAAAAAAACTGAACACAAAACAGGGCTGGAGGAGTGGCTCAAATAGTAGAGCACCTGCCTAGCAAGCATGAAGTCCTGCACTGAAAAATATATATATACTGATCTGGTCTGTATGAACTGCATAATGTTCAACTCAAGCTATATTAGATCCTGGGAGACAGAAAACTGGTGCAACTTTAGCTAACAGCTGAACTGGTTTGGATTCCGAATTGTTTCCAAGTTGTTGGATGTGATGGCACACACTTGTAATTCCAGTACTTGGGAGGCTGAGGCAGGAGGATTGCAAGTTCAAGGCTACCTGGGCTCCATAGTGAGTTTGAGGCCAGCATGAAGTACAGAGTGAGACCCTGTCTCAAAAAATAATTGTTCTCAAGGTGATGGTAACAGCCAAAGGACACTAATCTACTTGGTGACCAAGTTCTATCAGGTCCTCTTGCTGTCCCTTCCTTTTTGCTGGAAAACGCACTACTCTAGTGGAGACCCTAATCGTCTCTCTCCTGGACTGTGGCAATAGCCTCCTGACTAGTCAGAAAAGGATCTCATTCCTTCTTAATTCTTCTAGCTCATAATGCCCGATCTGGGAACCCCAAAAGGTCATAGCCAACCACAGCCCCATCCTTTCCTCTTTAGCCAGTCTTCAATAGTCATCTGGAGACCCCTACCCTAGGGAAAATGTTCCCCGAGTCTGACTTCAGTCTGATCTAAACTTGATCAAGTGATGCTTTTAAAATTATAGTACAGAGTGCTGGGGGTGTAGCTTAAGTAGTAGAGTGCTTGCCTACCATGTGCAAGGCCTTGAGTTTGTTAATCCCCAGTACCACAAAAAAAGATGATAGTGCAGATATGAGGAAGTTTTTTTTTTTAAAGGTGCTGATGTTTTTGTATAATTGCTGGGTCTGTGAAGCAGTTATCCATTAACAACAGGATTAATCTGATTGATTTTAGGGTTAGGAACAAAAGTCAGCAGAGTATGCTAGTATTTCCCAAAGTGGGTTAAAAACGATAGGGACCTGGGATGTAGCTCAGTGGCAGAGTACTTGCCTAGCAATGGGCTCCATCCCCAGCACTGCTAAGAAATAGTAACAGCCCTGTTATTGTGAGATGGCCTATAAAAATAGATTCTTCATGGTCAAATAAATTTGGAAAACTTGGAATGCTAAAGCCTCTCCCTTAAAGTTTCACAGTATACATTAATATATTATAGGATCTGAGAATTCCCATAGCAAAACAATCTGTATAGCGTTGTTTCACTTACCATCACAAACATTTGACCAACAAGTTCTTTTTGTTGTTGTTTTGGTTTGTTTTTTTGTGACAAGGTTCTGCTATATAGCCCAGGCTGGCCTTGAACTCGGGATCTTCCTGTCTCCACCTCTGCAGTGCTGGAATTGCAGGCTTGCACCATCACACCTGGCTCTAAGGAACTCTTAAGAATTCTTTTGAAGCTGGGCATGGTGGTACATAACTGTAATCCCAGCTACTTGGGAGGCTAAGGTAGGAGGATTGCAAATTTGAGGCCAGCCTGAGCTACACAGCAAGACCCTGTCTCAAAGAAAAAAACAACAAAGCACCACCAATGAACATTTCAAGACCACTTTGGGAAATAGAGGGAAGAGGGGAGAACAAGAAGATCTGAGCAGCACTGTAGCCCAGAAAGCTTTTGGCCCTGAAGGCACAGTTAAGACTCGATTCCGTGGAGTGTATTGTATGTCCAGGGAGCTGGTTTGGATGTTGTTGGGCAAATGGAGATGAGCAAGAGCTGGTTCTTCTGCCCAGGGTGCTTATAGTCAAGGATGTTCCAGGCCGTTTCTCAGCCAAGCTAGACTCCAGCCTCATCCCCTGCTCTCCCAGCTGGCGCATGTACATCTGCTTAGTGAGCTCTGATAAGCACAAATACAGCCACACAGCAGTCACCTGATGTTATATAATTTTAGTCTTTTCCAGTAAAAAAGGTTTGTTCATTAAATGTGCAAGCAAAGTCTGACTTAATGTGATACCTGGGTATGAGTTTACTACAAAGAAATTCCCAAATCAGAAGAAACCATCAGGCCATGTTCCTTGATTTTTGGTTTGGAAAGTATGGTTCTTACAACTATGCAAGTCATCTTTTCTTTGTTACCCTCCTGCCAGAAATGCACCTGCCTCCCTCCTCATGTCTTTGTGTTTCTTCCCACCTGTTCCACAGCCTCTGGTGCTGTTGATGGAGTGGCCCGAAGCCACCAACTTTGCCTGCCTGATTGCAGGGTACTGCCGCCTACTGCTGGATTCCAGGAAGATGGTCTTCTCCAGGCCTGCCAGCCAGCCTCTTCCACCTCCAATGATCAAGGCAGGTAGGGCTCAGCCTCGGTTTTTGGTGTGCCAGAGGCCCCTTGGACTCTGGAGATATGGAGGGAGGAGCTCTGGGGCCCTGGCACTCACCCCATGCAGACAGTGCCTGGTTTGCTAATAGCCAGCACTGTAGCATGCATCCTACCTGGCACACCCCAGTGGGAAAGACAGCTGGCCTTCACATGTGCCTATTCCACAAAGGATACTGAGGCAGGAGGATTGTGAGTTTGAGATGAACCTGAGGCTTAACATAGGAAGGTCCTGTCTCCCAAAAAATTGTATTGGGTCTAAGGCAATGTTTTAGAGGTACAGAAATCTAGGGGAGATTCTTGCATGCTCTGGCTTAGTTGAAGTGGGGTTGAAGATGAAGTTAAAATCTTCCTATGTCAGGCACCAGTGGCTCATGCCTGTAATCCTAGCTACTAATGAGGCAGAGATCAGGAGGATCACAATTCGAAGCCAGCCCTGGGCAAATAGTTCACAAGGCCCTATCTCAAAAATACCCAACACTGGGCTGGAGGAGTGGCTCCTAGAGCTCCTGCCTAGTAGGTGTGAGGCCCTGAGTTCAGACCCCCAGTATTCATCATAGTGGGAAGTGACAGCGCTCTCTGACATATGAGGCCATTGAAGGCTCAGGGAGGAAAGTCTGGGCAGACCCAGAAGAAGGCTTCGAGATAGGAGGGGATGATCAGATAGAATAAGTTCAGTCCCAAAACAGATTCCAGTTAGGCAACTCATGTGCCATCTCTCGGAGCCTTTCTGGTGATACCACAAACAGGGTCTTTAGGGAGAAAACCAGGCCAGTCTAGGCATCACTGCTCAGAACCAAAGCTGGAGGAGAAGCAGGTGGCTCAGAAAGCCTGTGCCCCATTCACTAACCTCAGCCTCCTGTGCATACAGTAAGTGTCCCCAGCCCCTGAGCATCATGGGTCAAGCTAAAGCCTAAAACCCAGTAATCACCCTTGTTGCACACTGAGCACTTGATCCACTTGCCACTTGTTACCCTCTCTTCAAGACTTTCTTGGTTTTCAGAGAGGCCACATCTGATTGAGACCACAGTCTCTAAGAGTAGAAACACATTCCTGACAGATGACCCCCGCAGCCAAAGGGCTGTGTGTCACCCCCATGCACATCTCTCACTTCATTGCCTCTTCACCATGAACAAGTCCATCACAAACAGCATGACAGGCCCAAGCTTAGATCTCTTAACATTGTCCCCAGGAATTAAAAGGCAGTCCACTAAGCACAGATTTGGGGAATGTTGAGTGGCCCCACGGCGTTGAGAGGGGCTGGAAATATAGAAGCAAAGGAGCCGAGCTGGAATAGGAAAAAATAGGAGTGAGGTGTTGCATGTCTCCAGGCAAATAGTGCTGAAGAGGCATCTGTACTTGCAAACCTACAGATGGTCAAATGCTGGAAAAGCCAGCATTACCATTCTTAGTGTCACCTGTGGTTCTCCTCTGTCTAATCATACCCAAGTAAGCAATACCTCTTACTGAGCAGGATAAAAAGGGAGGAAAGGAAAAAGGAAGGCAGAGGGAAGAACCTGGAACCCAGCCAAGGACCGGATGTGACAGTGATAGTTGTTTGAGGGGAAGCCAAGCATGGTGGCTCACACCTGTAATCCTAGCTACTCAGGAAGTGAAGATTGGGAAGATCAAGGGTTGAGGCCAGCCCAGGCAAAACATTAGCAAGACCCCATCTCACATAAATGTGAGACCTTATCCAAAAACTAACTAAAGCAAAACGGACCGAGAGCATGGCTCAAGTGGTAGAGCACCTGCCTAGCAAGCTCAAGGGCCTGAATTCAGATCCCAATAACACTGAAAGAAAAAAAAGAGTTGTTTGAGAGGATCCGCATTGAGAAGACACTAGGGCTGACTCCGTAGTCCCACTCTGTCTCCTAAAAGGTTTGTGTCATCCCATCCGCACCTTTGCTGATGCTGACCGCAAATATTCCCTGTTGTTCTAGGAATAACAGCAGCAAGCAAAGAGCAAGAGTTTCGTGGGACCCTGACGCCTCATTGAGCCCCTGCCATGTTGCTTCCCTGTCTCTTTTCCAAAGGCAGAGCTGCTTCTTGGGGCTGGACCTGCCTTAAGTGTCCCTGCCCCATTCCTGAGAGCCAACCCTTGTGCCTGCAGAGTGACAGAGGCTCAGGGTCTCTCTTCCATGCAGGAGCCAAATGGACCACTGTGGTGCCTCTGCTGGTTGTAGCTTCCCCTTCTTAGGTAGGATCTGTTCAGGGGCAGAGGCAAATAGAAAGCCTTTGTCCTTCCTTCTTCTAGCCAGAAAGACATGAACTTGAGCTTGGTATCACCTCCCCAGGGGCTGTGTAGATGCTCAAGCCAAGTTTCTTGGCTTTCTGAAGGATTAGGTGCTGTGTTGTCAGCAGCCACCGAGTGCTCTTGCTGGCTGGTGTAGGGTGAGCTCCCAGCATGGCTGGAGTTCAGCAAAGCACCAGGGGTGCTGTGCACATCTTATGTCATGGCCCCTAGGAAGGGAAGGGCACTACTGAGGAGAGTTTAGCACAGATTACAGTGGAAGGTTTATCACTTCCTGGTCTTCTAGACCTGTAGGACCTTCGTCCAAAGCTGAGATCAGTTTCTTCCATCACCCCTTAAAGAAGCCCCGGTGCCAACCACTCTTCTGTAGCAAAGGCCTGTAGGGAATAGGCATCCTGCCAGCCTGAGCTGGACTTTTCCCTCAGGGGCCAAAGCCACAGCCCACTCAGGACCTGGGCTCTCTGGAAAGGAGGAAGAAGTCTGTCTAGCTCTATATTTCTGTCCCACAGCAGCTGCTAGCTGCCAGCTGCCAGCTAGCCCAACTCAGTGCCCAGCCTACTGGGCTTAAAGGAGACTCTTAAACCAGGAAATAGGAAAGAAAGAATCATGTCTCCCAGATCCAGAGAAAAGGGGGAAATGGCAGGGAAGGAATTCCTGCCCTCTCAGTAGCTTCACCAAAGTAGGCATTTCACTTCTTCACTAAACAGGTATTTCTCAAGTATCCATTGTGCCAGGCATTGGGGGGATAGCTAGGAATAACAGATATGGTCCTTAGGGTCTTTGCCCTCACACAGCTTACAGTCTAGTGGGGGAAGATACAGGCATATGGTTAAAGGGACAATGTCCATACAGTAAGTATCTTTGCATTTATATAGGGAAATTCACCAGTCACAACAGAACAGCACCTGTATTTAAAGGCCCTGGGTATACTGAGGTGGCAGGGAATCCCAGAGGCAGCTGCTATCTTTCCCCAGGCCTGGCCTGATCACTGTGTGTCCTGGGGGAATCCATAAAAATAAGGCTTTGGGGGGCCCCAACTGGGGCCTCAGTTAGAGGAACTCACTCTACAATAATGACTACTATAGAGCCCATGTATGACTTGCCAGTTCACATGGAGGTAAAACCCAGCACCATGCACAGAGTATTAAATTTACACTGAGCATTTTCTTTCATGACATGAGGGCTTTCGGTCATCATTATGACCAATGATCGTGGACTGTGGAATACAGCAGGACCACCTACTGTTGCACTGACCATCGTGTGTGTGTGTGTGTGTGTGTATGTGCAAGCTGCAAATACTTGGGGGCATAACTTCAGCCAGTTCACTGACCTGTTCTTTGCAAGCATTTTTTAAATTTAATGCAGTACTGGGGTTTAAACTTAGGGCCTTGCACTTACTAGGCAAGCTCGCTGCCACTTGAGCCATGCTCCATCCTTGCAAGCATTTTTAAAGTCAATCTTGTGCATGGCCTAGTGCAGAGGAATAATGTAGAGCAACCTGTCCTTGGGGAAAGCTGATGGGCAATTTACACAGATTTGTAATCTGAGAACAGTGCCATCCCAGCCATCAGCCACCTGCATCTTGCTTCACTGGCATTTCTAACCTTCTGCCTAGAGGAGATTTGGGCTTCTCCAGGCACACTCTCTTCTTGGCTGTGGAAGTCACAATGGTGGGCTGGGTATCACCTGGCCTTGATAGTCTAGTGTTGGGAGATGCTTCTGTTCTGGAAAAAGGGAAGCCACTCCAGCCTTTGCCTGAGAGTAGTCACCACTTGCTTGGTGGATCTGTCCCCAGGAGCCACCTCGCATGGCAGCTCATGGCCTAGCTGCCTACCCTGATTGCTCAACTGCGTCCTATATAGTTAGCACCTGGTCCCGCTGATGATGCCTGGGGGTAAGGAGATATCATAAAGTGATAGTTCATATTTTGGAGCATGTCTTCTCTGACTCCCAGAGGCCTGCATGGATGGTTCCCCAATTGATCCAGAGCTCTGTAGGTATAGCCAGTAAGATCGAATCGAACCCATCAGTGTAATGTCATTGAGTAACATGGAGCGACACTGTCTGTGGAAAACCACCAAGAGCTTGGGTTTAAAGGCAGAGAGACTCAGGTTCAAGTTCCTGCTCTGCTCTGTTGTAGCTGGGTAAACTGGAGCAAGCACCATAAACTGAGTCAGTTTCTTCATCTGTAAAATGAAGACTGATAAGCTGGCAGAGTGGCTCAAGCAGTAAGAGCATCTGCCTAGCAATCATGAGGCCCCAAGTTAAAATGAAGAATAGTAATACTACCTACTTCATGGGGGATTTGACAGAATTACGTAAGATAAGCCACATTAAAGTCCTCTCTCAACGCAAGGCATGTTTTTTGCTTTTTAAATAAAGATTAAAAGTTCAAAGCTGGATGTGGTGGCACACTACTGTAATTCCAGCAGCACTCCAGAGGCTGACCCAAGAGGATGGAAAATTTGAGGCTAGCCTGGATGACATAGTGAGACTCTGTCTCAAAAAAAAAAAGTGCCAAGTGCAGTGGCTCACATCTATAATCCTAGCTACTCAGAAGGTGGAGATCAGGAGGATGGTGGTTCAAGGCCAGCCCAAGCAAAAGTTCTCTGCCAAAAAAAAAAAATCTAGGTGTGATGACTTGCACCTGTCATCCCAGCTATGAGGAACACGTAAATAGGAGGACTGAGGTCCAGATATGCCCAGGCATAAATGCAAAACACCACTAGAAAAAATAAGTAAAAGCAAAAACGGGCTGGGGGCATGGCTTAAGTGATAGACTGCCTGCCTAGCAAGCTCGAGGCCCTGAGTTCAAACCCCAGTACCACCAAAAAAAAAAGTTCATCATGTGCACAGTGCTATGCTTTTCTAAAGAAACAGATTTATTTAGGTATAATTTTAATGCCATAAAATTCACCTATTTAAAGTGTGCAACTGCAGCTGGCAGAGTGGCTTAAGCAGTAAGAGCGCCTGCCTAGCAAGTGTGAGCCCTCCATTTCCTCCTCCTCCTCCTTCTGTTTTGCATTTGTTTTGTTTTATTTTGAGACAGGATCTCTCTGTGTATCCCAGACTGGTCTTGAACTCGATCCTCCTGCCTCAGCCTCCAGAGTGTTAGGATTACACTTGACTCTTTGTTTTTTTTTTAATATAGGCATTTATAGCTACATTTCCCCTCTGAGAACTGTTAGGTTCCATAAGTTTTAGTATGTTGCATCTTCTTTTTCATTTATCTTAAAAAGTATTTTCTAATTTCTCTTGTGATTTCTTCTTTGACCCATGAGTTAATTTCCACATATTACTGAATTTCCCAAATTTCTTTGTTACTGATTTTTAAAACTTCCATTGTGCTCAGGAAACATACTTTGTGGGTTTTGTTCCTTTTAAATGTATTGGGACTTATTTTATGGCCTAATACATGATCTGTCCTGGGCAGCATTCCATGTACACTTAGAAGAATGTGTATTGTGCTAGTGTTAGGTAAAATGTTTTATAATTTGTTACATCTAGTTGGTTTGCAGAATTGGTCAGGTCTTGCGTTTCCTTGTTGATCTGCTTTTCTTTTATGCATTGCAAAAAATGGGGTATTGCCAGGCGCCAGTGGCTCACACCTGTAATCCTAGCTATTTGGGAGGTAGAGATCAGGAGGAGGATCACGGTTTGAAGCCACCCCAGGCAAATGGTTTGGGAGGCCCTATCTCGAAAAAACCCATCACAAAAAAGGACTGGTAGAGTGGCTCATACAGTAGAGCACCTGCCTAGCAAGCATGAGCCCTGATTTCAAATCCCAGTGCTGCCAAAATAAAGTAGGTTATTAAAGGCTCCAACTACTGTTAAGCTGTGTATTTCCCCTTCAGTTCAGTCCATTTTTGCTTCCTGTGTTTTGGGGGCTCTATCATCAAGTGCCAGCACTGAGTTTTTGTCATAGTAAAAGCTGTAGTGAAAGGCAACACTGGCACTTTGCGACAGGCTAGCCTTTAACTTGGTGATCCTCCTGCCTCAGTGTCCTGAGTGTTGGAATTACAGGTGTGTACCACCATACCTGACTTCAAACTGGAGTTTGAAGGGCATTTTGAAGTCTTGTTTTCCAATACTTTGACTGGCATGATGATCTATAAGGTAATGGTTAAAAACATGGGTTTTGGGGCCTCTCAGACCTAGACTCAAATCCAAATTGCCACTTGTGGACCCATGTGACCTTAAGTAAGTCACAGAACCATCTGGGCTGGTTTCCTCCTTGGTAAAATGGGGATAATGATGATATCTACCTCACTGAGTTATAAGGATTTAATAGGATCATGTGTAATGAACTTAGCCTAAGTGAGTACTAGCTTGCCGTGTATCTGCTGATAGCAAGGCAAGTTGGCATGGTCCGGGTATATTCTCCCATATCACATGGGAGGGGCTCCCAAAACAGAGTGTAGGAGAGAAGCCACTCAGAGATAAAGCATTTGCTCTGTTTGGTTCTCCCATTTACACACCTACCATCAAGAGCGGTTGATAAGAGCATTTTAGCAACTGTATGTGTAGCAGGCAGGGCTGTTCCTACTTGAAAATAATAAGCTTTGAAGAATTATAAGAGTGCTGCCTCACTCTCCCTCTTCTACCTGCCATATTTCTTTTTTTTGGTGGTAATGGGGTTTGGGCCTCACACTTGTTAGGCAGGTGCTCTACCACTTTAGTCACTACACCAGTCCCCACCTGCCATATTTCCCTTTCACTTTACATTTTCACCTCTTTAAATATGTTTACAGCTGAGTCTCAAATCAGACATGTCCATGTAAGAGTCCAGTGATACCAAGACACCAAGGTGTTCAACCCCATCCCCACCTCACCCCATGCCTTTTCCCATTTCAGATGTGACAGGGCTGTTGTAACTCAGGCCATTAGATTCTACTCTACTTTCAGGGTCAGCCATGACACGGCTCTCACCCCTCCTCCCCCTAACTTGTAGCAGCCAGATCATGCTTTCTCTTGGTATCTACCACCCAATTGTGCTGCACAGACAAGGGTCAGAGATGCCAAGGGAGCTCAGCCAATGTGTTCAGCAGCAGGCTCACCTGTTGATTCTTTCTCTTGGTTTAGATTACATGCACAGCGCCCACCGCCCTGTCACTGGGGGCCACCTGGGGAAAAAGGAGAGTAGTTATGTGGGCAGCGTGGGCACCAGCCCCAGGAAGTCGAGCCGCTGCACGCCCCCGCCTGCCGACTCTGAGCTTGTCAGCTTCTGCTACCTCCACATGCGGGAACAAAGGAAGGAGCAGGAAAGCCGGACAGATGTCAACGAGAACCTAATCTTCTTTGAGGAGACCAGGCCCCGGACCAAGTCCGACCCCACATCCAAAAGCTCTGGCCAAGGTTATGAGGTGGTCCCCGATGACTTTGATGCAGCCAGCCTAGATCATGAGCCTTGTGCCAGCAGGGCCCGGTCATACACCTTGGACAATTCCCTTGGGGCTGAAGCCCTGAATTTCTACTGTGACTCTTGCAAAGCCAAACTCCAGGAGCAGCTGGGCCCTTGCAAAGGCGGAAGGCCTGGCTCCTCTCGTGACAATATTGTAGACTTGATGTCCCTCCCACCACCAGGAAGTGAGGAGGAAGAGGAAGAGGAAGACGAGACAACTTCTCTGTTGCCTGCCATTGCCGCCCCACCCCCTGGCTTCCGAGACAACAGTTCTGATGAGGATGACCCCAAGCGCCGGGCTGTCCAAAGTCAGGAGCAAGGACGTCATCTGCGTGGGCTCCTGTATGATGAGATTCCAGTGACACTGATAGATAGCATGCAGACCAGGACGGTCCGAGATCATGCCCAGGAGCTCGACGATGCCCTGGTGTCCACTCTGCAGGCTCTGGAAGCCCTAGCTGCTTCAGAAGATGGACCCCACCCCCCACCCCCACAGACTGCAGGTAATGGCCCATTCCTTCTCCCTCTTGCCTCTCCTTCCCTCTCCTGGCCTAGGAATGGCCAGCAAGTAGCATTGCTTCTTCCCAAGCAGATCTTAAGGTGACCGGCATGTTAAGGCAGTGGATGGGCCAGATGTAGTGCAGATACAGTCTAAGGGACAATGATGTGTGTCAGCAGTGCAGCTCACCTCTAGCTAGAGCTACAACTCTTGCCATTCCATCTCTCTGAACACATCTTGCAAATGGATTCCAGAAATTAGGGCCATGGCAGCCCCAGAGCCAGACCAGATGGAGGAACAGAAAAAACTTGTGAGAGATGTAGAACAGGCAAAGAATAGCAGCATCCACATGATTAGAAGAAAAACAAAAGGAGCAACTAAGCACTTAGTGACCTGGAATCAGGAGAGCCAAGAGCCATCTCTGTTCAGGGCGGACGTCTTTATCCTGCTCAAGAATATGTGCTCTGAGTCACATGCCCCCGGGTCCTGGTTTCTTCACTCAGTCAGTGTGACCCATCATGGCAAGGCCCTTACTCTCTCTGAGCTTCACTGTTTCATCTTAAATGGGCTTGAAAACAGTAATCATGTCACATAGCATTGTGAGGATTAAATGAGCTCCTTCAAGCAGAGCACTTAAGTACTGCCTCACACACCGGAAGGACTCAGTAAGTGGTAGGTCCTACTATAAATTATTAGTTGCTAGGAGAGTCGTACAACATGCCTGCTATTCCCTCTTACACGCATGTGGATCCATCCTCTAGACAAACACACATGTCAGACATGTACCCAGAGTCTTATGTGTACCTTCATACCCATACACCTTTTTTAAAAAGAAGCGAAAGACACAGCAACTGGAAAGGGATAAGGAGGAACAAGGAGTATAAGTGTGTATGTGAGACAGGGCCAAGGGTGGACAGAGAAGGGGAAGGGATTGGGGTTGGAGGGAGTCCACCTTTTCTGTATGTGAAAGCTTGGTATAGGGTAGCCCCACGTGTTTGGCCCTGGGCTGGCATTTCTCTTTCCCTGCGTCTGGAACTCCAAGCACTAGCTGCTCCCAGGCTCAAAGCCCATGTGGCTGCCAGACAGAGGACAAGCTTAGCTAAATGGCCTCAGCTGTGAGGACTGTGGCAGGCCTGGCCAGATGATCAGGGATAGAAAAGGACCTCTCTTTGCCAGCCCTCTTCAGGACAATTAACAGAAATTTCCTAGCTGTTGAATCTAAAAATAGTGTTGATTAGCATGTAGTTTTTGCATGTTAATTTGCCACCAAACTGCCCAAATCTTCTCTATGCCTTTTTTGTTACTCTTTTGGGTTCCAGCCTTTCATTCCGCTTCTCCTGGCCTCTCATTCCTCTTTGTCTCCTCCCCTCGGCTCCTCCCACCCCGGGCCCTACATTCCTCCCAGACCTGATTGGTTTTCTCTGACTTGAAATACTGCTGCCTAACCTGAGCCTCCATAAACTCTCTGTATCTGGTTGGAAAAGAACTTGATGCTAGTAAGTGTAACAAGTCCCATCGCTGTTCCTCCAGGTCTGATTGTGCTGGCCACAATCACTCCTGAATCATCTCTGGACTCAGGCCATGAAACCAACTCTTCTGAGCTCACCGACATGTCGGAGATGATGTCGGCCATGAAGCAGCACCAGAATACCACCTACTTCCTGGCCCAGCACCTCAATAAGGACAGCCTCCTTGCCCGCAAAGACCTGCCCTTCCGGATCCAGAGCTGCGCAGCCCAGGCTGTTCTCAAGGCCCCTTACTCTCTTGGGCGCCCGGATCCCAACCCGTCCCTTCAGCCAGTTGTCACAGGCCAGAATCCTGGCCCCCCAGGCGCTCGGAGAAAGCTGCCCCCATCAGAGGCCCAGGCACAGGGAGAGCGAACATACTCCCTGGCAGTGCACCCGGCACTGTCCCCACAGCTTAGTGAGAAGAAGAATCTGAGCCTGCTGCCCCCAGTTCCTGAGGACAAAGGGCCTAGCCACACAAGGGCAGGCCTGGAGGTGTCACTGAGGCCAGCCACGCCAACTCTCAGTGAAAACCAGGTCTCAGAGCTGAGGGAGAACCTGCCCAAGGAGGTCAGGCTGAGCCCCAAGCTTATCCTGGACCCAAAAGGCAGTGTGACCCCAGCCATCATCTCAGCTGCCCTCCAGCAGGTGGTGCATAGTAAGAGTCTAGCCACACCTGGTGGAGCCTTGGGGAATGCCCCCAGCAGGGGCGAGAGAAGACTAGAGGCCAGCGTGGGGAGGCCAGAAACTAGCATGATTAGCAGCAGTGCCAATAAGAATCTGAAGTTTAAAGTGAGCTCTGGCACTCTAGAGCCCTCATGGAATTCCCAGCAGCAGCTAGGCACAGAGGTCTCTGCCAGCCCCAGAGCAAGCACAGGTAGCCGGGCTGACAGCCTCCACCTCTCCCCACAAGAGGACAGGCTTCTGGTTCAAAGCTTCCCTCCCAAAAGCTATCTATCTCGAGCAAGTCGGGAGTCGTTGGGCAAGCAAGCTACAGGAGAGGTGGCAGGTAAGGGCGGGACAGAGGGTACCAAGCCTCCCTCGCACAAGCAGGGGCCTGTCTCTAGCCAGGGGGAGAAAGGGCAGCTGGAGAGCACATCCAAAAGCAGTAAGCTAGAGGAGACCAGCCTGGTCCCCCGAGCTGGCTACCCCATGGCTCTGCAAAGCCCTACCTGTCAGCCTAGAAGCCAGAGCCCCAGCTGCCAGCCCCATGGTCACAGCTCCAGCAGCCAGTCCAGAGGTCAGAGCCCCAGCTGCCAGCCTCGAGGCCAGAGCCCACTGAGACCTCAGGCTGCCATCCGGCAGGTGAGCACTATGCCATCCAGGAAGCTTGAAACGACCCTGGACAGAGTCCCCTCGCCCTCTGAAGGACCCAGCAAATCCAAGTCATCCCGAGGTCCTTTCCGGCTCCGCAATTTATTCTCTGCCACCTTCCCCACCCGTCAGAAGAAAGAGACAGATGAGCGACAGGCCCAGCTGCAGAAGGTAAAGCAGTATGAGCTAGAGTTCCTTGAGGAACTTCTCAAGCCACCAAGCCAGGGGGAGCTGCCCAGCACAGAGTACCTGCAACCTCCAGCACCTGGCCGCTGCAGCTGCCAGCTACGGAGCAGCCCCGTGCAGCAGGGGCCTGGCATGTCCCGTGAGCAGAGGCGTAGCTGTGACTGCAAGCGCATCTGCCGAGGGGGCCGGCCGCAGGCTGCCCAAACACCCATGCCTGGTCTTCGTGGGAGGGAGAGGGACAGGGTCCCCCCTACCCAGAGGCAGCCAGAGGCCGGCCCAGGCTTGAGCCTCAGCAGTCCTGTCAACATCCGTCGCATCCGGTCCACCAGCCTGGAATCCCGAGAGTGCCGGTCGGACCCTGAGAGTGGTGTTTCATGCCTGACCACGTGTGCCTCAGGGGGTGAGTGTCTCGGAGCTCCCAACTACAGGAAACTAATGCGCCGCTACAGTATCAGTGAGCTGGACCAGGGTGACAGTGCCTCGCTAACCTCGGACGTCTACCCACACCCACCCCTGGGCATGCTGCCCAGGGAGGCCAAGGAGGTAGAGGCAGGCCTCCCCCTAGCCTTGGGTCCCAAAAGCAAGTCTGTGGAGTCACCAACCCTGGGAGACCCCTCATATGTCCAAGTGGCCCCTGAAACCAAAGGCCCCAGACAGATGGCCGTGTTCACGCTGCCAGAGGAAGTGTACCGGAAGCCTGCAGACCTGGATGAGGACAGTGAGAGTAGCAAGTGCTGCTCCATCCGCTACTGCTTCTACTACCGCAAGTGTGACATGGCTGATGATGCCAGTGATGGCAAGGACGAGCTCTCCTACTCCATCCCCATGAAGATTCTGCCTGGCATGAAGTTGGATGAGCAGGTGGTGCCTGTGGTGAGCAGGACCCTGCAGGTGCTGGACGCTGCCACCTGCAGCAGCAGCCCTGAGGCCTCTCGCACCCAGGAGATTGACCTTCGGGTGTCCACCTTCGAAGGGAGCCTAGCCAAGATAAATGCCCTGCGGGCCCATGCCTATGGACTCCCTGATGGCTTCCTGGCTGCCCGGCTGGACACCAACGAGCTACTGACAGTCTTGCGGCAGTGTGTGGCCAGCCCTGAGGCCCGTGCCCCCAAACCCTATGTCTCTCAGATCTCTGAGTACAAGCTCGAGCTAGCACTCAAGTTCAAGGAGCTCCGTGCCTCCTGCCGCCGTGTGGCCAATGTGGACAAGAGCCCAACTCACATGCTAGCGGCCATCACGGGCAGCTTCCAGGTGCTGAGCAGCCTCATTGAGACCTTCGTGCGGCTGGTGTTCATCGTGCGCTCTGAGGCCCAGCGCCAAGAGCTGCTGGCCAAGGTAGAGGAGGTAGTGAGGAATTACACCTTCCTGCTGCGTGCAGCTGAGGAGTCCACAGCCCGGAACCTCAACCAGCAGCAGCAGCAGCAGCAGCAACAACAACAACAGCAACAGCAGCAGCAGCAGCAACAGGTGGCAGCCACCACAGGGGCAGCCACAGGGCACCCACCAGGCTCCCCGACTTCGGCGACTGTTATGAGCACATTCACCCGCTCCTTAAAAACCCTTATTAAGTAGGGCACTTGCCCAGGCCTGCCCCCCTCCCCACCCACGGCCCCAGGTTTGAGCTTTGTGGTCCTTGCATCTCGTGGTGAGTGTGTGTGTCTGCTGGGCCAGTCAGGGTCCAAGAGCCCATCAGTCTCCAGGGAGTAAAAACTCCCTTGGCTGAGGCTCTCTCTTAAGGGCTGCAGGCCTAGCTGCTGCCCTGGGTGTCTTCACCCCTTCCCCGGCCTCTGGGCGTCACTGTGAGGGCAAAGGCCCCTCGCCACTACGCCCACCACAGAGCTGTATTTTATCTCTTCTCCAGAGCTGAGAGGTGACATCAGGCTCACTTCCTGCTCTGAGTTGAGCACCTGGGGAGCTGGAGCCTTGAGCTCCTCCTGGCATCTGCTCCTCTATAGGGAGTAGTGGCAGTAGCAGTCGGCCACAGTGCTGATCCAAGGAGAGAGGGCACTCGGTCCAGATGTGCCCACCCATCCTGGGCTCACACTCACCTGGCAGGAGCCACCGCTAAGGGCCTGTGCCAGGTAGGATGTGTGCAGAAAACAACAGGGCCCGGCTGTTAGTGGCCGGCCCAACAGGCTGGCAGCCTCGGGAGCCCTCGCCCCCAGGTCCAGTAGCTCCACACCAGCCATCCCCAAAGTGCCCTGCCCCTCGATGATGGGCAGGGCAGCTCAGTCCACTAGGGAACCAGCCTCTGGGATCACCCCACTCGTTTTGGGTAAGGTACCTGGTGAAAATGTCTGCCCTGGGGAAACCCAGTGCAGGCCTTGGAGCCCGCCCGGGCCAGCCCAGCCCTGTGCATGAGCTGTTGCCAGGGGTGTGTGGCTCCGCTCTCAACATCTCTCTACCAGACAGACTGTCCTTAGGAGTTTGACTTAGCTATGGATTGGGGTGGGGGGTGGGGGGTGGGGGGCAGGGATGGGGGGTGTTGATGACTATATCTTAAACTTCTGGAAGCTAGCGTGATATGTTAATCCTGAGTATATGCTTTTGGCTGTGTATTGACCCTGTGGATTTGTCTCTCTAAGAAAAGAAGCTGAGCGCCTTACCCGGTGCAGTCCTGCACCTCTCTCTCCCTCTCCGGAACCATCTGGAAGGGAACTCACTGTTTAGCATCCTCCTTGACACACATCGCCTATTGCTGCCGCTACTACCACCGCCACCACCGCTGCCACCGCTGCCTCCACCGCCACCCTCCCCCATAACCTTCCTGGGAGTGAAGACACGGAGTCCCTACCAATGTCCCACTGTAGGGAACAAAGAAAGCCAATGTTTCTTCTGTATAGATTGCTTCTCATCCACCTTTCCATATCTCCCTGTGTCCCACATCTCCCACCCTGCGTCTGCCTCTCTTTCATCACTGTGTGAGAGGCCCATGTGAAGTCTTTCGTTCTTATGTGAGTTTTATAAAGATGTACACTGTGCTGAGCCCCTACCCACTCTTGGTAGCCCCTACTGCAATAAGCCCCCCTGAGTGGCAAGATCTCCTGGCAAGGAGGAGGGGCTCCCCTTCTCCAGAAGCAGCCCCCCTTCCTTGCCACTCCTCCTGCAGGACCAAGTTGTTTAATGGGCCAGAGATGCAGCCAATGGGGAACCCTTCCCCCAGGACCACTGCCAGCCCTAGTGCTGACGTGGTCTTCCTCTTCTCCCAACTTCTTGATCCTACCTTTGCCACTCAGCCCCTGCCTGTGTCATTCCACCGCCATCATTCACCTCTCCCCCAGCCTCATGGAGAGGGAACATTTTCTAATGTCTGTATATAGTATATATACTACATAAATATATAAATTATATATATACACTAATTTATGTCTTGTTTTTCAAACAAGAATGATTAAATCTATTCATCTTACTATCCCAGTAAGTCTTTGCACTGTCTCTCTGTGTAGGGGGGGGGTCCTTGAATTGTTGGTTGGTGGCAGCCCGTTGAGTGCTCCTCTTGCACTTCCATCCTCAGGCATCTGAGCCCTGGTGGGTAACGAGAGCTGAGGAGACTGCTCTTCCCACCACTTATCCCTCACCACTCCCACCCCTGCCGATGTGCAGGGGATGTTCTTTGCTTCCCTTAGAAGCCTTGCTTTGGGCTGAAGGTGTGACTCAAATGGTAGAGCACCTGCCTCACAAGCACAGAGCCCTGAGTTCAAACTCCAGTACTGCCAAAAAAAAAAGCCTGCTGTTTATCACAAGTGTGCGGTATTATCCATCCCTTTCCATTGACCATCAGGATCTCTGACCAACCTGGCCGTCATGGGTGCAACCTGAGAGCTAAAGGATTGGGGGTACTGACAAACATGCAATGCACCCCAGGCCTACTGCACCCAATGGTCTGGGAGTTGGGAGACAAGGTTTTAGGCCAATGCTTAGGTTGGGATTGGGGAGTGAAACCTCTGATCCCCGATACCCTGAAGTTTAGGCTAATAAGTCCCCTGCAACAATCTTTAGCAATTTTGGGGGTTGGGGAAGGAGTGTTGATAGAAGCATCAGGACTCTAAGCAGAACCAACCTGTTGGGCTTGTCAGAGTTACTTAATGCTGAGAAATTATTTTCTTTCTCCTGTTCTCTTCATCCCTTCTGGTAATCTCAAGTCCCCACTAGCCTTTGAGGTGCCTTTGTGCAAATCAGAGACAGGTTCTCCCCAATAACAAATTAAGAAAAAAAAAACCTCCCTCTGGATGATGACAGCCCTGAGGGCACATGGCTTGATAATTTCAGCTCAGTCCAGTTCCACTTGCCATGTTGGCTGGGTACACAATCATGGACAGTGGCCCCGATGAGTCACATCCTCCCAAAGATTGACTTTTGTTATGTCTGCAAAGGTCCTGGCTAAAGATGTTTGGAAGCCAAACACTGGGGGAGGGGGAAACAGAGGTAGCAGTCAGCCTGGGCTGCTCTACAGATTCCCCAATGCATGCAAGTAGGAGGAAACCACAGGTGACAGCCTGTGGCAGAGCTCTTCTGGGGACTGCATGTCAGACATACTACCCCATAGCACCAAGGCTGGGATTCAGTGGAAGTCAACGCCTGTACAAAATGAACCCTGCTGACACTCACAATGACCCAGTGAACAGTCCAGAGCTTGGGCCTCATATCCCTGCACCAACTACACTGGTAGCCCTGGAAGATCAGAAAACATTTTTATTTGGCTCAGTACCCTGGGTACTCACCTGCACAGTACCTGGCACATAGTAGCTTTTCAGACTCCTGGAAAGGGTCCTCTTATCAAGGGAGTTGGGGCCATCATGCAATGTGCCACCAGCTCAGCTGGGTCTCTCCTACCACTTCCCCAAAGCTTCTGAAAGTCTCCTGAGGTGACTACTGATCTCCCTTCCTGTGACTCAGGGCCATTCTGTGAAGTAGCAGGGAGTTCACATGCCCACCAGAATCTTCCCCAACATCCTCCACTAGGGCCGGAGCCTGAAGTTGATGCTCTCCAGTCACTCCCACACAACCCCACCCACCCGAGCCTAGTTCCTGCCTTGCCTTTCTGACTTCAGCCAATTACAGGAAAATGAGTTCAGACTGTTGGCATGGGCCCAAAGTGCCAATGGGGCTGGCACAGGCACATTTTTTTCAAGCTGTTGTCAAAGCACTGTGGATAATAGGCAATTTCATCAGCAATGAATTGAAAGGACCTGCCTCAGCCAGAAGTTTTGCTGCCAAAGTGGGGAGGGGAGGCCCAATTGCCAGTCCTGGGAAGGGCATACATTTATGCCTTTGGTTCAAATTTCTCCCATCAGCCAACAGAATGGGAGCAATAACCACATCTCACACCTCAGCCAGACTGTGGGGGTGTGTCTGCAGCAAAGAGGAGAACCTCCTTGGAGTGAGAGGAAGTGATCTTTGAGGGTTCGGTCCTGGGTCCCGGTGAAATGTCTTGGACTCCAGGCGGGGGTCTCTTAGGTGTAATTTTCTGCAGCTGCGAGGCACTGTCAGGTGGGAAGGGGGAAGCCTTTCCCTCTTGCAGTATGTTAGTGTTGCTAGTGACTCCTTCCCACACATCCCACATAACCACACACCAAATTCCTGGGTAGCATCCATGCCCCAGCTTCACAGGGGCATCCTCTGGTGGCAGTCCTGATGTCTTCAGCTGCAGAAGATGAACCTACCACTCAGGAATAAGTGATGCTTTTCCCTCTAGGTGTTGACGTCTCATTCTAATTTATGAGGCTTTGGCTAAAAGGAGCAGGTGTCTGTACTGTGTTGGAATCCTTCCATAACGCAGAAAGCAGGAGTCAGGAATATAGCTCAGTGAAAGAACACTTGTTTACCATGTGTGAGGCCCTGGGTTTGATCCCCAGCACCCCAAAAAACTTAGAAAAAAAGAGAGCTGGGTGGTAGTACATGCTTGTAATCCCAACACTTTGGAGGCTAAGGGAGACGGACTGAGAGTCCAAGGCCAGCCTGGACTGCATATTGAGACCTTGTCTCAAAGAACTAAAAACAAAGGGCTACAGCATAGTTCAAGTGGTAGAGCACCTGCCTAGCAAGACTGAAGCCCTGAGTTCAAATCTCTGTGCCACAAAACAAGTTACAACAACAAAAAAAGCTCATGCCTGCAATTCTAGCTACTTGGGAGGCTGACATTGGGAAGATCACGATTCAAGGCCAGCCCAGGCCAAAAGTTTACAAGACCCCATCTCAACCAATGTCTGGGCACAGTGACACATGCCTGTCATCCCAAACTACATAGGAGGCTGAGATGAGGAGAGTCACAAATCCAGGCCAGTCTAAACAAAAAAGTTTTCCAGACCTGGTGGCACATACCTTTCATCCCAGCAGAAGCAGGAAGCATGAATAGATGGCTTGTGGACTAGGCTGGCCTGGGCAAAAAGAGAAACCCTCTCTCTAAAACAATCAGAGCTAAAAGGATTGGAGGCATGGCTCAAGAGGTACAGGGCCTGCCTAGTAAGCATAAGGCCCTGAGTTCAAACCCCAGTACTGCCAAAAATAAAAAATCAACCAGAACAACAAAAAAGTACACAACACAGAAAAACTGATCCCTGCCCTTTAATAGGCAAAATCAACTGTGCATGAACATTGCCACATGCCACGCACTTGCTATGCCCCACGCGCATGCTTGCTCTCATTTAACCTGCACAGGGCTGAAGGCATAGCTCAAGTGGTAGAGTGCTTGCTAGGTAAGGCCCAGAACTCAAACCCCAATGCTACCAAAAAATAAGAAAAAAATAAGGATTCATTTAATCTGCACAGTCCTTTAAGAGAGATAGTAATCATCTCCATTTCTCAAAGTAGCCCAGATAGGTTAAGCCAGTAGCTCAAGGTCCCCCAGCTAGTCGGTTTTCATACCCAGCCCATGCTTTCAGCTGCCACCCTACAGTACTTAGCCCAGCCCCAATTTTGAAGCACTTCCCCTGGAAAAAGAAGCATGGATGCAGCCACAGTCATCAGAAGATGGCCTGCAACTGCTGCTCACAGTCCCCGCAGCCTGTGGTAACAGGTGGTGCATAATGATGGCATATGTAATGCAGGGTACCCTGAGGCCTCCTGCCTCCAACCTTTCTTTGCCACTCTGCCCTGCGCCACGTGCCTCATCACAGAGCCAAGAATGACACCGTTTATGTGCATGTCAACTTCTGGGTAGAGCAGTTGTGTCCTCAAGAGTCAGCCTCAAAATATACGTTGTGGCACTTGCCCAGCAAGCATGAGACCCTGAGTTCAAATCCCAAAGTGGAAAATATATGTTCATGTGAATTCCTAGGTGGCCCCTCACCCCCTCCCGTGTGCCCATTGTTATAGTGGGGTCTGAGTCTCTCAGGGTTATGAGAAAGTGCATTGACAGAAACAAAAATCCTGAATGTGAATTTTTCTCTGAGATTTGGGAGGAAAATATCATTCAGATGACATGTTAAATATTTTTATATCAAGAAAAAATATTTTTCCATAAAAATACCATAGTGAAGAATGCAAAAGTCGCATACCTTTGGAAGAATACACAGCATTTCAAAGACACTTGAGACTCCTGTCTGATACTTCCAGATACATTCAGTTACCTGCCCACCTGGTGATAATGGTTATGCTTCTCGATCGACTCCTAGACCTGCATTCATGGAAATGTTGGTTACACCCAGGGTCTATTAGATGAGCATAGGCCCCAAAGGGAGGACATCTAAGATTTGTCTGTTTCTATGCATCTCGGCACATCAGGATAAGGAACCTGGAGGTATAGGGTGCCAGGAAGGGACTCCAGGAGGAGACAGGCCACAATATAAAAGCCTCCCTCTCCTTTCCCTTCCTTGCCCCTGCTTAGTGTTGCCTGTTACATGCTTAAGCAGGGGGTCAACCCTGAGCACACTGAGGGGAGCCAGGCTCCCTGCAAGCCCGAGATTTCTGCATTTTCGATGAGCAAGTCAAGCAAGGAGACGTGTGGGCTAAGTAGAGAGGATCACTCCAGAACCAGGGGTCGGTTCTATTTTCAGCCCAGCGGCTGACTGACCGTATGATGGGGTCCAAGTCTTGCACCTGTTTGGGCCTTTTCTCTAAAATGAAGATGACTGAGTCTTCAGCCTCTCTGCGGCTATGAGGATTAATGAGGTGATGCAGCAAAAACAGCGATAAAATTCCTGACTCCTAGCTGTACAAGCCTAACAAGTGCAAAGTGACTGCCCCGTTTGCAGCCCGTGCACACAAACTAATTAAGCTTGCACCAAGGGCCTAGAACTAGGACCTTGGCCTGCACAGGTTTGGGGGTCCTGTTCCTTCAAATGTCTCTTGCTCTCAGGCAAAACTATCTTCTGTCAGTTTCCTTCAAAAGGGACATGCACGACCTCTCCCACCTCACTTTCTTCTGAATCCAAGCCCACTGACTGGCCCGTGGTCAGTACTTTGGCTTGTTTCTCTGACATC